ACAAGGAATTCTAGGCAATGAATATTAACAAAAATAAAAACAACTATTAAAAATATATAGCAGCCAAAAAAATTATCACAACCAACCATCACTAACCCAGGCAGGAGAACCATGTACATGGGGCCTTTCCTTTGAAAAGTACTAATCAAAATTCTCTATGCCATCGCAACTGGCTTGCATTTTGGAATGTTATGCACCCATAATGTGTGCCTGTGGAACAGAGCAGGTGAAGAAAGCTAATTCTAAATACAGGTGGTGTGTGCTTATGCATGAATGCCTGGGAGTGAGGGACAACACAGGAAGAAGGGAGCGAATCACTGCTGACATCTGTGACAAAGAAGATTGATGGTTTCCCTCTCTAGTTTTCCCCACTGTGAAGGCATACAGGGAGTGGGGAAAGGGATGAAGAAGCCGCTATGAAGCTGCTCTGCTGGCAGTACAGCAAACTGTTTCTCTAAGACCATTTGAACACTGATTAATGAGGTAGAAGCAGCAGCCCAGGAAACAGAAAAATCATGCTTAGACTACTCTCTTATTTGTCCTTAACTGTAATTGGAATCACAGAATTCCATATGGTTTTAGTGGTTTCCTGGATCTGAATTTAAGCCAATAAAGCAAAGGCAAATCATGAGGACAAACAAGATGTTGGGAACTGTCTTATCTTTAAATAAAGGTACATATTTTTCAAATTGTGCCAAATTGCACATATTTTCCAAATCATGCTTCAAGATAACAACCAGGCAATTAATAAAACAATTTCAACTAAATATTATGAAAAAAACCCACTTATTTAGCTGAGAGTAAGCTGACATTCTTTTCTGGCTGGCAAAAAACCTTTGCCTGGTCATTTTTCTTTTGTTTCCTTTCATTCCTGAAAAAGGAAAATTGCCTAAATAAACTATCCAGAGAATGAAAAATAACAATGGAGCTTTTTATTTGTAAATTATAATGTAATCTATCCAGAAACAGATTTTCTTGTGAGACAACATTTAGAAAATCAAAAATATATAATTTATTCAACATTACTGTACATAAATAAATAAATATAAACTAACTAGGCATAGAAAAGCGAGGCAATTCATGGTTTTTAATCCACTGTTTAAAGAATACTGTAATATATTAAATGAGAGTTCCTTAACAGAGCCCATAGAGTAGAACATGCAGTAGTTAGAAACCTTTCACAGTTACAGAAATTTTATTTCTTGAACATAATTAAAAATGTAATCTGTTTTTTTTCTTAAATATAGTAAAGGTGTATTAAAGATAGAAATTTGCATAATATAAGTTTTAAATTTAGTTAACTTTAGTTCACCAAGAGACCTACATTTATATGATAGAAATATACCTTATTATAAAACATTGTTATTTTCTACAATAATCCCAATAGAGGTTTTCACCTTGAACTGCAACTATTACCAACAATGAAGGCTTCAACAGAAACTACACCCTGAAGTCCATCTGAGTGGTGCTAATTAGTCAAAGAAAGTAAAAATGAAAAGTACTGACAATACAGGCATGAATTTATTGGGAGTCATTATCTCTGGTCTCAATCTCATATCCTCTTGCCCCAGGACCAAGGGTTTGGGTTTTTTTTACTCCACATCCTCATGGCATTAACTTTTGGTTTCATCTCCAGCAAACAACTGAGGTAGTTAAAAAACTAGCTGGGTCAATACAGAGTGTATTTTGACAAATGAACAGGCACGTTTTAGAGCTGGACACTCTTATCATTGATCACACCTTAATTCTGCAACATTTAACCAAAAGTATTCAATCAAACCAGGTTCAAAAGAATTCCAGAATAAAGTTTCATGGCAGCATGTGATGCACGTATCAACTAAAATCTAACCTGAAGAGGAATAAGAGATGTATTTTGGTTCCCCTTTTCTTCAATTTATATACCAAATTGCTTGTGATAAAAATAAGTAATTTGGATCGACATCCCCCAAATTTAGCCAAAAAGTCTGCTATAACACATTCTGCTAGAAAGAGGTTTCCTGAGGATGGGCTCTAGCATAAGTCTGAAAGCTCAGAAGACTAAACCTCTGGTACTGGTGACCGACCCAGATTGGATCTTGGGACATGTATATTCACCTTCATTCATCACAATATAGTGTTTTAAGATAGTGCTACAGACCCTGATTGTTTTGAGGAAGCAGTTAAGAACATAGAATATAAAATAATAGGATTGGAAGTGACCTTGGAGGTCCTCTAATCCTCCTGTTCGAGCAGGAGACCCTATATCATGCAATCTTTTTTTGAAAACCTTCAGTGATGGAGCACTCGCTTCTAACTTCTGGAGGTAAGCCATTCTAGTGATTAAAAAAAATAATTTTAATAAATTGAATAAATGATGACTTAAAATAATTACATTAAAATTAAGGTTTTAATTTTTGAAATGTGACCTAGACGCTGTGCCTGGTGGCTAAAAAAATCTTTGGGCATGGTTTTTCATTGTTTTTCCAATTACAGCACATACCAAAACTATAAAATCCAGAATGCCCTAAAATCAACTTTTCTAGAAGGGCACAGCATATCCCATCAGTGTTAAAATTTCATCTGACTAAGGCATACATACAACTTTTGTTTGGTATTCAGCTGGGACCTTGTAGCTCCTTGGCCCCTCTGGAAAGGATTAAATCCAAATTCTTAAGAATTACTCCAAGTGACTCCATGTGTAACTAATGTGGCACTAAGGAGAGAGTCTGTTTATTCTGATTAAAATAGAACTGGTGCATGGATTTGTATTACTAACCACTGGTTGGAGGTTTCCCCCACCCCCAATCCCCAGGCTCTTTGTTCACTACTGATGATTATGAATCAACAGGGAAAAGAACATCCCTTCAAAAACTATAGTGCTGGGTAAGTCTGAGAGATAGATAGGCAGTCCAAAAATATGGAAAATAAATAAATAAAGCTACATTTTGCCTTATGCTCTCTTAGAGGGAAGATTTTAAAATGTTACATTTCTATAACATCTTTGCTGATGCTCCCTCAAGAAAACAAAACAGTTTCACCAATCCTGCGGTGATGCTTTTTTACACAACATGGTGCACTGAATTAATTACTCCTTTTCCTAGCCATAGTTATATGTGATCAGATAAGGGATCACTAGATCCTTTTACTTGTCAGCTCAGCAAATATCTCCAGACCAACTGACAAACTTCTTACAATTGCTGTTGGTGCAAGACAAATCATTGTTTAGCAATCTTGATAATTTGCTTTTCCTAAGATGATTCACTTTTTTCCTGATTATTTTAATAAATATCTTAGTTTGCCTTCCATATTTCATTTTCTTTCCATAAATTTAATTTAAACCATTCTAATAATACTTTCATTTGGTGATTTCACCTGTTTTTAATCTGACTGTATTGAACTGCATTTTATTGTACTATGCTTGATAATGGTGTCTGACCATAAATAACTTTCCTACTCTCCATGCTTGGAGAAGGAATGTTCTACAACAATCTAATATCTCAGAGTTATATAACAGCAGCAAAGTTTGGCTTTTAGACCCCCTATAAACTTTGAATCCACTTGTAAATTTTAACAAATAAGATGAAAATGGATGATTAATGAATGGAAATCATAAACTGGATTTAATTTTCTTTAAATAATCTGAAATCAAATTTAGAGTTCCTACTGGCCACAGATACAACAAAATTCTATTGTTGCTAACATAAAAGGCCAGCCCTGATCTTCCCCCAAAGTTGTGCATCATTAGTTTATGTTAATTATTACAGAGTATTATTATTTACCCTATAATGCTCAGCAAATTCAAAGCACAAAGCACTTCCTGCTGTTCCATTCATTTTACAGAGCTATCCAGTATCCTTATGCTCCCACTACTCATCAGGATAACTAACAGGAGACATATTTTACACTTTTCTATATTATTTTCTGACTTTTACCATTCATAATTTATAAAGTTGACAAGTTCTGTGCAGCCATAAGCAAACTCCTGACGGCCAAGTAGAGCCAATTAAGCTTGATATAATTTATGTTCAATTATAAATATCCAGCTATTCAGTTTTACAAACTTTTGCTGATAACACTTATGCTTTTAGCTTTCTAGAAATCACAGCACATATTTTGATTTCAATGCAGACTTGCAGTTTTATTTCTCCATCTTTTAACTCTAAAGTTGTGGTCCTTATCATTTTCTCATACCATAGTTATTAATTTTATAGTCTCATGAAAGATTGTATCATTATTTCAAGGTATATCAAATCTTTCTGCCAGTAGCATTCATGGCAGCTAGTTACCATTTAAAAAAAAATCACAGCAGCACTTAAAATAGAATAAAAACACTAAATAAATGGCACTGTGCACTCACAGATTACATGCAGTAACACGCAGGCAAAAATGCTTTAGCATTCAATCACAACTACAATTTTGTAAAGTGCTAGGCCAATCAATTTTTCTGGGGGACTAATTATTTTAACATACCTGTACATAAGGAACTAGCATATCAGGAAGAAGGCTAGCCTAAAATCTGTATGTGTGTAAAAGTTCAAACACTAAATTTATTTTTATTTATTAGCTACACTTACAATCTACTTTTATCCCTAGGAGTTCAGGGCTCTATATATCCCACTGTTTCCTTTGCACCGATATCACGGGCTGGCTTAGTCTGAGAAACGGAGATTGGCCCCAAATTACCCAGTTAAATATAGATGCAATTTTTTAAAAAAACTGAATTCTGCCGTGGTTAAGTCCAACATGCTAAAAATACCCGACACCGGTTTCCACTTCACTTGGAAAAAGACCAGCAGCCGTATTACAAAAGAAGAACTGTACGGGGAGGAACTTGAATACGCGAAGGGGAAGGCAACACCATAACGCGGTTGCCGTCCAGGCTCCGGAGCTGAATTAAACGATCCAGCGGTATGCTGTCCCGCCTAACAGGGCGAGGCGACGAAACTCTGAATCAGAAAATCGTCCTCCTCGTTCGAGGATCGAATCTCCCCCGTTCCTCCCGCCCAGACCCTCCGCTCTACCTGCACGAGCTGCAGAGTCCGAAGAGCAGAACTGGGCGCCGCCATGTTGGAAGAAAGGGCGGCGGTCACATGATGCTGCGCATGCGCTACGATCAACGCCCTCTCCGCTCTGCTCCAACTTCTCGAGCGCGTTTCTGCAACTGGCGCGGTGTCTCTGATGGTGCTTGGAACTGTTTTGAAAGGGTTTAATGTGCAACAACAACTAATGGATCCTAATAACAAATTCGACCCGCAGCAAACTTTTCCGAAAAGTTTGTTTCCATTAAAGCTATCCTTGCGCTTTCTCTTCTTTCCCTCTGCTGTCTCCTCCCCGCATTGGAGTCGTCCCCAGGTTCTCACTGCCGCCCTTTTCCCGTCTCAGCCTTGACCTTTTACACCCCCCCCCCAAACTCTCCTTAAGGTACTTTGGTTTTTAACTTCTGAAAATACTGATGTTAAAAGAAGAGATTGACAGCTGTCTTCGGTTTGTGGTTAATAAAAAAGCCCTGATGGTGCAGCAGACTAAAGCACTGTTATTAACATCAGCTGTCTGCAATTACTGCAAGTTCAAATCTCACCAGGCTCAAGGTTGACTCAGCCTTCCATCCTTTCAAAGGTAGGTAAATTGAGGACCCAGTTTGTGGGGGCAATAAGCTGACTTTGTATAAATATACAAAAATATGAAGGCTATTGCTTAACGCATTGTAAGCCGCCCTGAGTCTTCGGAGAAGGGCAGCATAAAAATCAAATAAAAAAAAAACTTTTTCGAGAATCGAGGTTGCTTTTTAGAGGAGTGCTTCTTGACCTCAGCTGTTTTAAGATGTGTGGACTTCAAGTCCCGGAATTCCTTGCCAGCATGCTGGCTGTAGAATTGTGGGAGCCAAAGTCCTCCTGCCTTAAAGTTCTGATATATGAGGGTCGTGTAGGATGGACATTGTAATATTTGAAATATGGGTTTTGTGTTGCGTTGGCAAACTAACATGGGCTTACCGTCTTTGATTCAGCCCACATCCATGCTATCTGGCTCTCCAATTGAAAAACTTAGGTGGCTCAGTGGCTAAGATGCTGAGCTTGTCAATCAGAAAGTTCAGAGGTTCAAATCCCTTGTATAGGTCTCCTGCGTGAGCAGGGAGTTGGACTAGATGACCTCCAACGTCCCTTCCAACTCTGTTACTGTTATTATTATTATAACTATGCTAGACTAGCGTATAGATATTGCGAAAGCTAAATACTATTAAATTGTTTGTGATGGAATCCCGAGAATCCCCTTGAAAACAGATGTATATTTTTGTGGTATCTTTACAGCAGACTTCAAGCCTGGATACCCAGATCTTTTTTTTTTAAACAAAAGTTTTTTATTTTTTATATTCAAACAACCAAATACTACAAAATCAATTATACATTATTTTATTCCCACCCAACCCCCCCTTCCCCAATTCCTCCCCCCACTTCCCAGAGCAAAAACACGATATAGCATTTAACAAACATAAGCTAAAGTATGCTAACTATTACAGAATTCAAAACTCTCTCACCCTTGTTAACTCCCCTTTTAAAAATTATACTTCAACCTTCCTTTTATAAATTCTCTTATCACATTTCACATTTGTAAAAAAAAACAAAAAAACAACCCATAATCTTATTTTAAACATTTTAAAATCTCTTAATACATTAGCAGAACATTCTCCAAAGTATAAGTTTCAAAACTTTCAAAAAGTTATCCATTAAATTTTAAGTTATCCACCTTTAAACTTCAATACTTTAAAACTACAGTAAAATTCAAAAAGTTATCCAACTTTAATTAAATCTTTTAACATTTTGAAACAATCTCCAAAATATGACCAGTCTTTCTTTCTTTCTATATTTTTTCCAGTCCTTCTTCAATAATACTTTCTTCTTCGGCATTGCTCCTCCCCCTCCTTTTATTTTCAAAAATTTTTGGGTTTGAAATTGTAATTGGTGTGTCTTTGGAATTCGTTCTCCTCTTGGGGTTGTTTCCTTTAATTTGAAGCCCCCATTTCGACTCTTCCTGTATTTGTAATCCATCAGTTCGTTCCTTAAATATTGATTCTGTCTGTAGAGCCAAAACTTGTCAAAATATTTATCAACCTGCAGTAAAGAGTCTTGCTGTTTCTCAATTAATTAAATGGACGCCTCTTCCAGAACCTCTGTTTTCGGTAAAATAACCTCCATTTTAGCCCCAACAGTGTCTCTTTTACCCTCCAAAGTCACATTATCCTGATTAATTTCTTCCTCTTTTCCAGCCAGCAAGTCATTATTATTCCCCAATTTAAAATCTTGAATAGTTATTTTAATTATCTGTCTTATCTCAACGGTAAAAGATTTTAAAAAGTCTTTTAAATCCTTCGCAGTCACCACTTGTGAGTTTGCTGACTCATATAATCCATCTTTAATTTCAGCCATTTTTCAATTGTCTCTTTATGTTTGTATTAATTTGGCTATCAGGTCATTAAATCCAATTATTTTCCACACAAATTAAAAATGTAAGTTAATTAAAATCAATACCACAGTCTTTTCCATTCCACTTCCACTTTAAATCTTTTTCTTGAATAACCCGATAGCTTTAACAATGTTACTGATGTTAATAAGGACTTTCACTTATAAGTTTTGTTTTCACGCCCTAAGGCGCCATCTTTCCCTTTTTAAACGGAGTTAACATACAATACTTGCATTTTTAATCTCCTGGATTAACTCTGCCAGCATCCAAAATCCAAAGTCCAAATTCTTTATAACTTTTCTAGTTGCTTTGCTGGTGTGGTCGTGATGCTTCGGTCTGCTTATTTTTAAGCAGACTTGTCCTGGCTCCGGAGCTCTGAAGGGCTTTCAGGGAGCTCTCACCCTGCAAACCCCAGGCTTTAAAAAAAAAAAAGCCTGGGGGTCTAGGGGAGCTCTACCCAGACCCTTCTGCTCTTTTCTCCCCTTTTTCCCTGGGGGAGAGTTTTTAAGCCGCTAGACAGCTGATTTTCGCTGTTCTGGTGCCTATACGGAGTCACGGGGCTGGAGCTCCTAAAAGGAGCTCCGTCGGTGTTTCGCGGAGCCACCGGAAGTCCTGGATACCCAGATCTTAACTCTGAGTAGAAATGCCTTTGACCATCTGAGATTGGTATTCTAGTTACATCAGTTCCTTGGAGAAGGTAGATTAAACAATGATGCATGCCAGAGTTACATCATATCTGGATTAATGCAGTGCATTTGAAATAATATATTCTTCATACAAGAATCCATTCAATTGATAGAAAAGCAACAAATAGACTCTTTATTGCAAGCTGACAATCTTTATGGCAACAAATTTTGGCTATATGGACAAAGGAATGGATTGAATGATTATACAAGCAAGAAGAGTCGAAATGGGGATTTCAAATTAGAAAACGTGACCTCAAGAAGAGAGCGAGTATTTCAGAAACATCAACCTCAAATTAACATTTTAAAATTTTCAAAAATAAAATTGGGGGGAATCTTGAAAGAATTTATTAAAAAAAAGGATTGGAAAAAATATAGAAAGAAGAGAAGAACAGAAGATTTTTTTTTAAATTTTTTTTAATTATTAAAATATAAACACAGATATAAAGACAATACAATACAAAGACAAACAAAAAACCCACCACCTACAAACCCACCTAACATTTTACATTTACGCTTTTGTCATCAACAGAATATATGTCATTGAGCTTATATAGTTTAATAAAGAGTAATTATTAAATGTCTAATTCCAATGTTATAACTTTTCACTACAAATTTACATTTCTTATGGGTTCATCTCCTTGTGAAAGTCTTTACCCTAATTTCTGTCCTCTACATTTTTGCTGATTTTCCTTTCCAGCCATTGATACCATTGGTGCCATACAAGATAGTATTCGCTTTCTTCCTTTTCCTGGAGTTCCAGCGTCAATCTGTCCATTTCAGCACACTCTGTTATCTTTGCAACGATTTTGTCTTTGGATGGGAGTTGGTCTGATTTCCAGTTTTGCGCGAACAGTAGTCTTGCTGCTGTCAAGATATGTATGATGAGATATTTCGTTTCCTTAAGATGTTGTGCCGTTATCATGCCAAATAGAAAAAATTCTGGACTGTTTTCTATTTGAATGTTTGTTATTTCTTCAATAATATTTTTTATATCTTGCCAATAGTGTTGGGCTTTCCTACATTTCCACCAAGTGTGATAATATGTCCCCTTTTTTGATTTACATTTCCAACACAACGCCGAAGTGTTTGGGTGTATTTTGGCAAGTCGGGCTGGTGGTAAGTGCCATCTATAAAACATCTTAATGAGGTTCTCCTTGTAGGATGTGGCTCTTGTCATTTTTATGTTCTGCTTCCATAATTTCTCCCAGTCTGCCAATTGAATATTATGTCCTATGTCCCTGGCCCACATTGTCATATTATGTTTAACTGTTTCTTCTATTAATTTGTCTCTCAAAAGGTAGTTATATGTTTTAGTAATCATTTTCTGGTCTGCTCCCAATAAAATTCTGTCCAGTTCGTTCAGATCTTTTGCAATTCCATATTTGATTTTATCCGCATTGTATCTTGAGTGTATTTGAGTGTAGTGCCACCAATCAATATTTATATCGCCATTTTGGAGTTGATGTCTTGGAGTGAGTTCTCCTTCATGATTCAGTAAATCTTGGTATCTCATCATCTTTCCGATTTCAAGGGTATTTGGAAATATCAATGCCTCCATCGGGGACCACCGTTTTGGTATTTTAGTATAATAAGTTTTCTTAATTCCCTGCCAAATCTTGAAGAGTGAGGCCCGAATTATGTGTCTTTGGAAGTACATGTGTTGTTTGTCTGGTCCATCCCATAGGAACGCGTGCCATCCTCGTATGAGATCAAAGCCTTCTAGATATAATGTTCTTTTGTCATCTAATCTCATCCATTCTTTGATCCAGGTCAATCCGGCTGCTTTATAATATAGCTCCCAGTCTGGTACTGCAAGGCCTCCTCTGTCTCGTGTGTCTTGTAGCGCTTTAATCTTAATTCTGGCCTTCTTTCCCTGCCATATATAGGTCGTTGTAATTTTGTTGAGATTTTTGAAGAAGTCCCTTCCTGGATGTAATGG